TCGTGCCCGTCGCGAGACGTCAGACTCTGCAACCGATTTCTCAAAACCGACGAAGTCGATGACCGTTGTCGCAAAAATCTGACGTTGCCAAATAACGTTTCGGCACGTCACCGGCTCTTATCCGTCGACCCGAGTGAAAGCGCAAACAACACATGAAAATATCAATATCACATGCATGTAAATGTCATTAATATCAACAATGTAAGCATGACGGAGTCGCACGACCGTTTAAACGTTCATCTATATCCCAACGGTCTACACTGTATCAAAGGTTTGATATCTTTTTTTTTTCGAAACGGCTGCGGTGAAAAAAATCAAGATTTGCGTGATTAATTAGCGACTAAACAGGAGATAATTTCTACGCAAGTCCTATTCGATTGTGCTGAAGAGGCTGATTATTGACTTTTTTCCGCAACGTTGATTGGTTCTCTCACTGCGCTAACTTCGTAAGCGTCTGTCATTACATTGATTTTTGACAGTTGTATGTATTGAGGTTGATGTATAATTATAATCAGTTATCGTAAAAAGTGCAATTAAATAACGCGCGCGAAGTACATCTGTAGTGCTAGTTTTATATAAAATTTGCATAGTTTTTATCTACATATATAGTTGCCATCACTATGTCTTTTTCTCTAATTGTGAAACTAAGTGTGTTATAATTAGTAATATCTCACATTATTAATTCCATCTCAGTTCTCTAACCCAGAACAGAGCTTTGTAATTAAAAATAAAAATGTTTTATTGTAGCATTCGTAGAAGATTGCAAGGACCACTCACAGCTGTGCAGCAGAGTGAAAACGATGAACGTATGTAAGGTGCCGCTGTACAAGAAACAGTGCTGCGCATCGTGTCGCTAGATTCAAGATATTGTAAGTGACTCATTGTGAGGATTAGACAAAATGAGCGATAATGATGAGTGCGCGTGAGACCGAGAGTGTAAATCGTGATTAGTCGGACAATTACTACGTGACATATATAAACGCACCCGGGATGCCTGTTGTTAGTAAATTACATAACGCACGCAGAAGGAGCGTGCCCACACTGTGGAATAACGTTGCACAGTATTAAGATGTCCGATTTATAGAGTAAAAAAGAAAAACAAAAAGTATCCAAGAAAGGAGAGTTGACCAAAAACTACTTCGCTGTAATAATTTCCTCGTCGTGTCGTGAGAGCCGGTTTCACCTCTTCGCCTCGCGAGCAATTCTCGTGTAACAAAGAAAAAAAACCCCGCCAATCTTAACAGTTTCTAATTAATTAAATCATAATTTTCTAACGTATGTCACGCGTATAGTTCAGCGCGATTCCTGTAAATTGTATTGCTCGCGTTCACATTACCTTTACTTGAAGGAAGAAAATAATGGAAATTCGGCATTTCGTCCACAAAAAAGTTAAGAGCGTTATATTGTTATAGAGTTCGATGGGAGGAAAGGGGAGTAGAAATTTATTACTACGTCCTGGAAAGATCGTTATTGCGACATTATATCGTTGATATCGACACGTTATTTAAATGTTGTCAATGTTGGTGCTTAAGTCGCACGGAAAATGGCTTTAAACAGAACGATATTCAAATTTTAATAAAAACACTAAGTCTGGAAAGTTGAGAAGAATACGTTGTTTGTGTCGCGATGCACATTAGAAATATTCTTGACACTTAATTTCTTTTTCTAACGTCTATTCCCCGTCGCAGTTAAATACAACCGTCTCCGTTTATTTCTGAAGCGAAAGAAAGTCATCCTTTTAAGACTGAAACGCTCTTCGGATATATCATTATTCTTGGGCATTAAATGTAAAGAGACGTTTCGTTTATGTTCTAAACACTAAAAAATCAATTGACATTCCGCTATAAACAGAAGAAATTATAAGTATCTTCGCTCTATTCATGTCGCATATATTTATTGATATGTTATCTCTCCCTCTTTCCGTTACGTTTATAAATTTCGATATAAATAAAATTGACATTCCGTTATAAACAGAAAGAAATTGTATATCTTCGCTCTGTCCCTAACATATATATTTATTGATATGTTATCTCTCCCTCTCTCCGTTACGTTTATACATTTCGATATAAATTATTGCGAATGTGTAAAATATAAAGTTATTTAAAAACAAGGATATAAGTTATCAAATTATTGCGCGCCTATTTAAGCGTCCCGTCGGGCGATCTTAAGCCAATAGATATCCAATAAGCAATAAAAGAAGATACATAAGTATTGTAATATAATATTTTGTTAATAATCTCTGGCGAAAATTCGTGAACATGACCATTCCGTTGTTGGTTGAAGGGCCCGACTTTACTTATGTGCCTCTAATATCACTTCTCACACTATCTAGATATTACCAGTAGTTACGAATATTCATTTGTCGCGTATTATTACTCGTAGAACTTATCATAGAATTCGATGTTTTTCAACAAGAGCGAGTTTCCCTCGCGCGCGGATATTGACTGTACGTGAAATGTAATGAGGATTTGGCCCACCCTTTTACATACAATGATTAATCTTATTAAACGTTTAATTGCATCACAGGCGCTGCCGGAATTCTTCGTAGGAGACATGCACATCAGCGAGAATATTTTTAAAAGTCTATTAAAGTACATAATATATATATAAAAAAAAGAATATCTCTATAACTTCTATGATTATTGTATAGTCAGTATACATATACGGCAGATTATATTATATAAATGTGCGAATGTACATTCCGCTGCATGTCACACCTACGACACGCGGCGCCTATGTTATATATATATATATATATATATATATATATATAAAATATATATAATATATATATATATCAACCAACGATTTCCTCTGAAAACGTAAAGCAATTCAAAAACCAATGAGATTGGGAAAAAAATAAAATTTACGAAAATTAAAATTGTTGGATTATGGTTAGCATTACACTCTTGCGAACCATAAAATTAGCTGAGGATTAAATTTCGTGCTTGGAAAATACAAAAGCTTTGCAATATATTTTTAGAATTCGTATTGGT